TATTATTATTATTATTATTATTATTATTATTATTATTATTATTATTATTATTACTACTACTATTATTATTATTATTATTATTATTATTATTATTAACAATAAATGCTGTTACCATTTGTAATTTTTTCTCAGTGACACGATCAATCCTTCTCACTCTCTCGGATATTTCCACGATCGATCCACGTCGACTACTTTCATCGTCAACTTTATATTTCGTCGTTATCCGAATAAAAAAAGAAGATTTATTTCAAATCCTTAAAAACTTTTCTTCTTTCTTCCCCAATTGAATTATTCCATTTATCGAAATTTATTATTCTTTTTTTTTTTTTTTTAGAATATAGAAACGAGTAATAGAATACGTCGACGATATGATTAATTTGATCGATAACGGGATCGATAACGAAGAGGAGAATAATCAAAATCCCGTCGAACCCGATTAATCATTGGCCAAGGAATCTGGCCGTCTCGCATCTCGTCCGTTTCAACCCGATCCATGGTGTAATTCAGGGTTAAACGGCCGTGCCAATTAGGCGAACTACCCCTTAACGGCGAACCCCTTAACGGCACAATATGTTTTCCGTCGAGTTTCGTTCGTCGAATATCGTCCCTTTCCTCCCTTTCCTCCTCCTCCTTTTGCATCTCTCGTTATTTCGCAACCCTGAAAAACGGGTAGCAAGAGGGGTGCCCCGTTTCGAACGTGAGATTTTCCCGAAATTCCCTCGTTTTCGAGAGGCCTTTCCACGAGGGAAAAGGAGGGGGAGAGGGTTCGCGATGGTATTCACGATGGATAAGAAGGAGAAGGAAAAACGAGCACGAGAGGAAATACCGAACCCGACAAGGGAGGAGGCCGAGGGAGGGGGGAGGGGAGAGTTGAAAGGGGTGGCGGGAGAAAGGAGAGCGTTACAGCAGTGACTGCGCGACACCATGACGCAGCCACGGGGGCAGATTGGACAGTTATTGCATTCTGGGTAAGATTAATTGATATGGGGACTCGCGGGGGTGGCTGGGACACGCCGCCCGCTTAAATCGTGTCTCAGAAATGGGGATGAGAGAGAGCGGTGATTAACCGATTGCAACCGTGAACCGAGTGGAGTGAACCGAAAGCCAAACC